ACCAAGGGCCTGGGCAAATGTGTAACTCGTTCCAGGAACTACGGTTACCGCTGCTCCAGAAACAATGCCACTCACAAATCATGGACCCTTCGTGACTTATATCAGACCGTAGCATTCGTCGGAGTTGACAGTAATTAAAACCGTCTTGGAGATAAGATCCACAGGTTGTCATGTTTCTAAACTATTACGACATATGATGTAAACAGTGAGTTTGCTGCCAAGGGTTATTCTGCTCTGAATCGGAATAATAAAATCAGTTCGTCACATCCGATTCGACTTCTCAGAGGTAAAACGCACAATGAAACTTTAAAATATCGCTTGGATCGGGTATTCGTTTCTACACAACTGACAAATCAACTCATTACCGTTCGACACATCTGTATTTTGTTACAGTATATCAGTTAGAAATCTTCTGTTGCTGAATGAAATAATGGTGGTTTTATAGTTTTTCCTTCCAAAATTCGGAATACCAAACTCCAGATTAAGTAGGCTGCGATATCCTGTCTTCAAGCTGGAGACCACACTCACCGCCTGGAATATAACAACATGCGATTAAAAAATAGGGCCATTCTATTATCCAATGAGTGACTTGTAGACTATGTTAGTCTCTTATGAGACTCGTGAGGATCCGGGTTAGAATTGATCTTCAGTAACCCAGGCTTGTCGTAAGAGGTGACAAACGGGATCGGGTGGTCAGGCTCGCTGACTTGGTTGCCACTTGTCATCGGTTCCCAATTGTGTAGATTGATGTTCATGTTGTTGATCCCTGGATTGTCTGGTCCAGACTCGATTATTTACAGACTGCCGCCATATAGCTGGAATATTGCTGAGTGCGGCGCAAAACTAAACTCACTCACTCATATCATTCCTAGATGTGTCTACTGTATCTGAAAGTCGGAAGTGGAGCAGGCCTTCGTTTTGTGAAACCCGGGAACGCGGATACGGAGCTAACAAACAGAATCACGGCGAATCAAGGGTTCGAACCCATGGCCATAGGAATCTGTCAGAGGACACAACCCTGCACAGCACATTGTGGCGATTTGTAGTCCCTTGATTCAAAACTCCGATTCAACAAACTGATTCAATACACTGATTAAACAAACCGATTCCACAGATTGATTCAGTAGACGGAGTGAGTTTAGTTTTACTCCGCCTTTAGCAATATACCTGCAATATCACGGTGGGGAACGCCAAAAATGGGCTTCACACATTGTACCCATGTGGGGAATCGAACCGGATCTTTGGCGTGACGGGCGAACGCTTCAACTTCTAGGGTACCCCACCGCCCCTCGGCAGATGTAGGTCAGGGTGTAACCTAATAAGGTTAAACACAACTGCTTAATATTCATACATAAAAAGTTGACACTGGTGTACATACATAACATACGTGGCGGTTGCTTTTCAATTTGAAACGAGCGTGTCTTTTTGTCATCTGTGCAGACAGACCAACTACATCGTTGGTTCTTCATTTCAGGTAGCTACTGGTAGGAACAAAATATGCAGAACAATATTGACTGGAAAACACTTACACGGGAAATAAACTCAAAATCATCAATAAACAATACCAGTAGCAAACCATTTGTAAAACTCAAAATTAGACCTTAAGTGATATCATGTTCAACCTTGAGTGATATCATCTTCAACCTTGAGTGATATCATGTTCAACCTTGAGTGATATCATGTTCAACCTTCAGAGATATCATCTTCAACCTTGAGTGATATCATCTTCAACCTTGAGTGATATCATAACTTAGACCATAAGTGATATCATAAATTAAAGCTTCAGTAATACCAAAAAAATACGACATTACCTTATGAGAAACTATAAACAAGACATGTTACAGTAATTAAGACCGTAAACATTCAAATTTGCCTGAGCATAGTGTCAGAAAATAAAATAAACACCGTACTTACGTTTCAGAAATACCTGGAATACTAAGCAGTTAGGAAAATAGGAAAAGCAAATTTGAGATAAATAACTAAGAACTATGCTTTGATGTATACAGCTGATAATAATACATAGGAATGTTGTTGTGAGTTTTTTCCAGATTTAGCAAATGATTCTATCCATTTTAAAATCAGTAAACGTTATAAAATATCTTTTTATGAAGTTCAAACTATCCCCCATAAATGAAAAGCCGCATTCAGTGAGACAGCAAGTTGTATGTACAACAACAGAAGTCGACGGGAAAGCACATTTATAAGAAGGCATACATTAAGGAATAATGGAAGGATAAATACACTTGAGTATATAAATATATACAAACGAATAAATTAAATTATTAAAGGTATTATTCTGATGCAAAACTAATAATAATAATATACTGAACATCATTGAAAACGCACCAGTCTAAAATTGTCCATAGTTTCTTCAAGATGGATTTCAGCATGACAATGATCAATGAATATAACTAACATGAAGTCGAAGGGCATGTCGGTTGACAAAATGCTTTAGAAACAAATTCCTGTTCACAGTATGACACTTTACTCCAAAACACATCAACCTGCAGCCACTCCATGAAAAAAGCGCGAATTCCATTCTGAAATCATGCTGACTGTGACATTAAAAGCAGGTGTATGAGAAACGATCCTCATTGTTTCACTAACGATTGTGAAACGAGGACAGAGATGCCGAGGTTAACACCTCACGGAAGAGAACGTGCACTAGGCATGATTCAGGTTGGCACCAGCAGCAGGGATATTGCTCGACAACTTGGAATTGGCCACTCCACCATCGTTGGGCTTCATAGACGACATCTGCAGACAGGCAGCACCCGTGACCTTCAACGACCTTGGCAACAACGTGTCACGACCTCCCGTCAGGATCGCCATATTGACCTTGACCATATCCGTGATCAAACACTGCCGACTGCCAGGACTGCTGCACTAGTTCAAGGTCGACGTGGGGTCATCAGCGCTGACACCATCCGACGCTGTCTACACGCTACAGGGCTCCATGCTCGACGTCCTTACGTTGGACCAATTCTTACTGACAGACACCGTAATGAGCGTATGCAATGGGTTAACAGGCATGTTCAGTAAAGTTTACAACAATGGCATGGTGTGGTAGTCACTGACGAGTCACGTCTTCACCTACGTAATGCTGACGGCCGATTACGTGTTTGGCGTAGACGTGGTAAACGTTATGCTTATCAGTGTGTGGTTCAGACAGACCGTAGGGTGGTGAGAGTGTCATGGTCTGGGGTGCAATAAGTTACAATCACAGAACTGCCCTTCATGTCTGTCAAGGGAGAGTTAATGCCCTTTGCTACCGTGACCAGATTCTTCAGAATCACGTCGTATCATTCTTCAATCACCACCAAGATGTCCATACTTTTCAACAGGACAACGCACGGGCACACACAGCTAGACTTCCCATGCAGTATCTGGCCCAGCAACACATCCAGGTTATTCATTGGCCAGCACAGTCGCCAGGTGTATCCCCCATTGAGCACTCGTGGGACGAAATTGGTCAAAGTCTTTCGCGGCGACAACAGATGCGAAACATCCGGGAACTTGAGGCTGCACTACTGCAGAAGTGGAATGCCATCCTCAAGAACTCTATTCGGACGCTTATTGACTCAATGAGGAGACGTTGCACTTCATGTGTCAATGGAAATGGCGGTCACACGCGATATTGACTTTTCGATTTGACCCCAGGTGTGTTTGATCCTTTCTGACTGTGGAACAATGAAATGAATGAGCGTCTTTTCTGTGTTGCTGCTTTTGTCAGTCGTCCATCTGTTATTATCCACTAAAAAATATCAATTCCTTACACGTGCTTTTAGTAATCTGAACTTTTGTAAGTGGTGCGTTTTCAGTGATGTTCAGTATATAAGCAAACATATCATGTGAAATGCAGCAAAAATGAGTCTTACTTATATGATAAACAGCAAATTATCGTCGCTTGTAGACGAATTCATTGATAACGAATCCATGTGTGAAGCATGCATGTGCTAAAAGCATAGAATTAGAAGGATAATCGTGCTGTGACCGTTACTGATAGGTGGTGTGACGTAGCATGGAGCCGCATGTGCATTCGCGAGTACCGCACGCACGCACGCACGCACGTACGCAGATACACACCCACAGTCAGACACACTTATAACACATCAAGGCAACATCAGCTTCATTCGCTCACCATTTCATCCTCGTCCGGTAATAATGGCAAGTTTACCCAATTAACTGATATGTAATCCTTTTCAAACTATAGACATTTTTGCATAAATATCTTCACATACGACTTGCAAACAGCTAAACAATGCTTTAGAAGATTATGACCCGAGGGCCTTGTTTTATATTTGCAGATGAAACTTTTCTTATTGCTTCAAGAATTGTATTATTATTAATTTTATCAAAATATGTGTAAGTATACGGTATATAAATCTACTTACGAAACGGCTGATTTTGTAAGTTAACCATTTAAGGCGCCATCAATTGTGTATGTATGCTCGTATCTCTGATTGTTTTGATTGGAGATCATTTTACCTTTTGACGATGACGTCAGCAATTTCTGTGATATGTCTGTGGAGGAGATTGTCGTAGTTGTGTCTGTGGAGGAGATCGGCGTTGTTGTGTCTGTGGAGGAGATCGGCGTTGTTGTGCCTGTAGAGGAGATCGGCGTTGTTGTGTCTGTGGAGGAGATCGGCGTTGTTGTGCCTGTAGAGGAGATCGGCGTTGTTGTGTCTGTGGAGGAGATCGTCGTTGCTATGTCTGCGGAGGAGATCGTCGTTGCTGTGTCTGTGTCGGAGATCGACGACGATGTGTCAACCAGTGATGATGCTGACGATGTTAAAGATGCATCTTCAAAAGGGAAATGATATCCCCCGGTATACAGACGGGCGTCAGAGAAGACATACACGGCCAATCCATCCATGGACGTGATGGAGAACGAGGAGGACGGTATGAAAGATGTATTCAATGTGCCAATACTGTAATTCGAATTCTGAACCATTCTCCATTGAACTGACACCGTACCTGTAGGTGCAGTCGCTAAAACGTCACTTGTCTTGCCTTCTGCTACGACCTTCAAGGAGTCTCCTTCCAGGGGTAAATACGTTGCCCGGGGTAGAAGTGACAATGGTGGAACGACACAAAACCCTCTCAAAGATACTTCGCCTCCCCTACATAATGTCAAAAGAACTGGCTTGGAAGCATTGACAATCATTGCGCCATCCGAATAGAATCCCCCGAGGGAATATGCCCTCGTAAACGACCGAGAAAAGCCTCCGTTGACGTTAATACTGGTTCCGTTAAACACGCTTGTGAATATCACAGTGTTTCTATTCGAATTTTCACTTTGAGGAATGACATAATCTTGACCGAGATGTTTCACAGGTAAAAGCTGGTCGTAAGTGGATATGATCCCATTGCTCCTCGTACCTGCATAAACAGCTATTGGATATTCCGAGGTAATCCGCGTACCTGTGAGGTCAGCAGCACTATTTAATGTAAAAGTCTGATATTCAGTCAAGTTCAGACGTAGTATTTCTTCATTGTTATAAGTCAAACCGCTGACGGTGATATAGGTCTGCACTTTAAAGGTAATATCAACCGTTGTGTTGTATCTGTGTGTAGCTAATATCAATACTGTATTGGTATTGTCGAAATCATGACAACTAGAGAATACATAGTGTTGTCCTAAAGCCGGAATGGGGAGCGGGGTGTAAGCATCGTAGACATCTCGGCCGTACACCTTCATGGCGGTGCTGTCAGTTACACTGACGGTGAAGGATTTGTTCTCCGTTCCTGACACCACAGCCATGCTGGCATTGACGTAGATGGCGTGGGATGACCATGGAGGTAATGAATACTCCAGTGAAGGTTGACCGGGGTAGTTGATGGAGTAGGTGCCTCTCTGACTCGCAGATACAGCTTGAATATTGAAGTCTGGGCTTGGAGAGGTCATCAAATAGTCTGTACCTTAATGAATTTAAACATTTTTTTTATTTAAACTAATGTACGTGAGCATATTAAACAAGTAAAAATACTTGAACAATATATTATCATTATATTACTTGCTGTGGATATGAGTAAAATTAATGCTGAAAACGTTTCAAATAGCCTCTGAGGCACACCGATTCCAAAACGGTCCCAAGGAACCACCCCGAACTATTTGCCTGTACAGACACAATAAACAGGATAACACGATAACACCTACGTTCCGTAGTCACATCTAGCAGGAACTGTCCACAACCTCAACTAGCAGGAACTGTCCACAACCTCAACTAGCAGGAACTGTCCACAACCTCAACTAGCAGGAACAGCCCACAACCTCAACTAGCAGGAACAGCGCACAACCTCAACTAGCAGGAACAACCCACAACCTCAACTAGCAGGAACAGCTCACAACCACAACTAGCAGGAACAGCTCACAACCTCAACTAGCAGGAACAGCCCAAAACCTCAACTAGCAGGAACAGCCCACAACCTCAACTAGAAGGAACAGCTCACAACCACAACTAGCAGGAACAGCCCACAACCTCAACTAGCAGGAACAGCTCAAAAACCTCAACTAGCAGGAACAGCTCACAACCTCAACTAGCAGGAACAGCCCAAAACCTCAACTAGCAGGAACAGCTCACACCCTCAACTAGCAGGAACAGCTCACAACATCAACTAGCAGGAACAGCCCACAACCGCAACTAGCAGGAACAGCGCACAACCTCAACTAGAAGGAACAGCCCACAACCTCAATTAGCAGGAACAGCCCACAACCTCAACCAGCAGGAACAACCCACAACCTCAACTAGCAGGAACAGCTCACAACCTCAAGTAGCAGGAACAGCTCACAACCTCAACTAGCAGGAACAACTCACAACCTCAACTAGCAGGAACAGCCCACAACATCAACTAGCAGGAACAGCCCACAACCTCAACTAGCAGGAACAACCCACAACCTCAACTAGCAGGAACAGCTCACAACCTCAACTAGCAGGAACAGCTCACAACCTGAATTGGCAGGAACAGCTCACAACCTCAACCAGCAGAAACAGCTCACAACCTGAACTAGCAGGAACAGCTCACAACCTCAACTAGGAGGAACAGCACACAACCTCATCTAGCAGGAACAGCTCACAACCTCAACTAGCAGGAACAACCCACAACCTCCACTAGCAGCAATAGCCCACAACCTCAACTAGCAAGAACAGCCCACAACCTCAGCTAGCAGGAACAACCCTGAACCTCAACTGGCAGGAACAACCAACAACCTGAACTAGCAGGAACAGCCCACAACCTCAACCAACAGGAACAGCCCACAACCTCAACTAGCAGGAACAGCCCACAACATCAACTAGCAGGAACAGCCCACAACCTCAACTAGCAGGAACAGCTCAACCTGAACCAGCAGGAACAGCCCACAACCTCAACTAGCAGGAACAGCCCACAACCTCAACTAGCAGGAACAGCTCACAACATCAACTAGCAGGAATAGCTCACAACCTCAACTAGCAGGAACAGCCCACAACCTCAACTAGCAGGAACAGCTCACAACCTCAGCTAGCAGGAACAGCCCACAACCTCAGCTAGCAGGAACAGCTCACAACCTCAACTAGCAGGAACAGCTCACAACCTGAATTGGGAGGAACAGCTCACAACCTCAACCAGCAGAAACAACTCACAACCTCAACTAGCACGAACATCCCACAACTTCAACTAGCAGGTACAGCTCACAACCTCAACTAGCAGAAACAGCTCACAACCTCAACTAGCAGGAACAGCTCACAACCTCAACTAGCAGGAACAGCTCACAACCTCAACTAGCAGGAACAGCCCACAACCTCAACTAGGAGGAAGAGCTCACAACCTGAACTAGCAGGAACAGCCCACAACCTCAACTAGCAGGAACAGCGCACAACCTGAACTAGCAGGAACAGCGCACAACCTCAACTAGCAGGAACAACCCACAACCTCAACTAGCAGGAACAGCTCACAACCTGAACTAGCAGGAACAGCCCACAACTTCAACAAGGAGGAACAGCTCACAACCTCAACTAGCAGGAACAGCTCACAACCTGAACTAGCAGGAACAGCCCACAACCTGAACTAGGAGGATCAGCCCACAACCTCAACTAGCAGGAACAGCCCACAACCTCAGCTAGCAGGAACAGCTCACAACCTCAACTAGCAGGAACAGCTCACAACCTGAATTGGGAGGAACAGCTCACAACCTCAACCAGCAGAAACAACTCACAACCTCAACTAGCACGAACAGCCCACAACTTCAACTAGCAGGTACAGCTCACAACCTCAACTAGCAGAAACAGCTCACAACCTCAACTAGCAGGAACAGCTCACAACCTCAACTAGCAGGAACAGCTCACAACCTCAGCTAGCAGGAACAGCCCACAACTTCAACTAGCAGGAACAGCCCAAAACCTCAACTAGCAGGAACAGCTCACAACCTCAACTAGCAGGAATACCTCACAACCTCAACTAGCAGGAACAGCTCAAAACCTCAACTGGGAGGAACAGTGCACAACCTCAACTAGCAGGAACAGCCCACAACCTCAACTAGCAGGAACAGCCCACAACCTCAACTAGCAGGAACAGCCCACAACCTCAACTAGCAGGAACAGCCCGCAACCACAACTAGCAGGAACAGCCCGCAACTTCAACTAGCAGGAACAGCCCACAACCTCAACTAGCAGGAACAGCTCACAACATCAACTAGCAGGAATAGCTCACAACCTCAACTAGCAGGAACAACCCACAACCTCAACTAGCAGGAACAGCTCACAACCTCAGCTAGCAGGAACAGCCCACAACCTCAACTAGCAGGAACAGCTCACAACCTCAACTAGCAGGAACAGCTCAAAACCTCAACTAGCAGGAACAGCTCACAACTTCAACTAGCAGGAACAGCGCACAACCTCAACTAGCAGGAACAGCCCACAACCTCAACTAGCAGGAACAGCCCACAACCTCAACTAGCAGGAACAGCTCACAACCTCAACTAGCAGGAACAGCTCACAACCTCAATTAGAAGGAACAGCCCACAACCTCAATTAGTAGGAACAACCCAAAACCTCAACCAGCAGGAACAACCCACAACCTCAACTAGCAGGAGCAGCTCACAACCTCAAGTAGCTGGAGCAGCTTACAACCTCAACTAGCAGGAACAACTCACAACCTCAACTAGTAGGAACAGCCCACAACCTGAACTAGGAGGAACAGCCCACAACCTCAACTAGCAGGAACAGCCCACAACCTCAGCTAGCAGGAACAGCTCACAACCTCAACTAGCAGGAACAGCTCACAACCTGAATTGGGAGGAACAGCTCACAACCTCAACCAGCAGAAACAACTCACAACCTCAACTAGCACGAACAGCCCACAACTTCAACTAGCAGGTACAGCTCACAACCTCAACTAGCAGAAACAGCTCACAACCTCAACTAGCAGGAACAGCTCACAACCTCAACTAGCAGGAACAGCTCACAACCTCAACTAGCAGGAACAGCCCACAACCTCAACTAGGAGGAAGAGCTCACAACCTGAACTAGCAGGAACAGCCCACAACCTCAACTAGCAGGAACAGCGCACAACCTGAACTAGCAGGAACAGCGCACAACCTCAACTAGCAGGAACAACTCCACAACCTCAACTAGCAGGAACAGCTCACAACCTGAACTAGCAGGAACAGCCCACAACTTCAACAAGGAGGAACAGCTCACAACCTCAACTAGCAGGAACAGCTCACAACCTGAACTAGCAGGAACAGCCCACAACCTCAACTAGCAGGAACAGCCCACAACCTCAACTAGCAGGAACAGCCCACAACCTCAGCTAGCAGGAACAGCTCACAACCTCAACTAGCAGGAACAGCTCACAACCTGAATTGGGAGGAACAGCTCACAACCTCAACCAGCAGAAACAACTCACAACCTCAACTAGCACGAACAGCCCACAACTTCAACTAGCAGGTACAGCTCACAACCTCAACTAGCAGAAACAGCTCACAACCTCAACTAGCAGGAACAGCTCACAACCTCAACTAGCAGGAACAGCTCACAACCTCAACTAGCAGGAACAGCCCACAACCTCAACTAGGAGGAAGAGCTCACAACCTGAACTCAGGAACAGCCCACAACCTCAACTAGCAGGAACAGCCCACAACCTCAACTAGCAGGAACAGCGCACAACCTGAACTAGCAGGAACAGCGCACAACCTCAACTAGCAGGAACAGCCCACAACCTCAACTAGCAGGAACAACACAACCTCAACTAGCAGGAACAGCCCACAACCTCAACTAGCAGGAACAGCTCACAACCTGAACTAGCAGGAACAGCCCACAACCTCAACTAGCAGGAACAGCCCACAACCTCAACTAGCAGGAACAGCCCACAACCTCAACTAGCAGGAAACCTCAGCTAGCAGGAACAGCTCACAACCTGAATTGGGAGGAACAGCTCACAACCTCAACCAGCAGAAACAGCTCACAACCTCAACTAGCACGAACAGCCCACAACTTCAACTAGCAGGAACAGCTCACAACCTCAACTAGCAGAAACAGCTCACAACCTCAACTAGCATGAACAGCTCACAACCTCAACTAGCAGGAACAGCTCACAACCTCAACTAGCAGGAACAACCCACAACCTCAACTAGCAGGAACAGCCCACAACCTCAACTAGCAGGAACAGCCTTACAACCTCAACTAGCAGGAACAACCCTGAACCTGAACTGGCAGGAACAACCCACAACCTGAACTAGCAGGAACAGCCCACAACCTCAACCAACAGGAACAACCCACAACCACAAGTAGCAGGAACAGCTCACAACCTCAACTAGCAGGAACAACCCACAACCTGAACTAGCAGGAACAGCTCACAACCTCAACTAGCAGGAACAGC